ATTTCCTGTGGTGCTGTTTGCAAAAAGTCTTAAAATAACTGGTGAAAAAACTGATCACGTTACATTTAGTCTTAACCCTCAAATAAATTTCACTTGTAATAGTAGAACAGCAGTTTTTATAAAGGTATTTATATAATTTTCACTTATTAATAATATTGTAAATTTAATAATTATACTACATAATTGAAACTAATATATTAATTAATTTATTATTAGGTATTAATTAAAAATATTTAAATATTTAATTAAATTATGGATTACTTTATTATATTAGTATACTAGTTTTATTAAACTAAGCATTTTCAACAATAATTGTTTTTCAAATAAATAATATTAATTATTGTATTATAATTGATTATTTTGTTGTATACTTTATTTATGTGTTATGAATATATAATAAATATGTAATATAATATAGCCAAAAAATCAGTATAATAAACTAATTAGTAATTTCTGATGTAATATAAAATTAAAAAAAAATTTAAATAGGTAAAGACTTAGTTGATAGTAAATTAAACTGATAATCAATAGAAAAATATATTGCTAATAATTATTTTGAGATTATTTATACTCTTAATACTTATTAAAATAAATTTTTAAATTGCTGAATACTATTTATTGGTTAAGAAAAGCCAACAGTATTTGATAAATCATTTTAAATACCTACTATTATTTCTTAGACGATTACTATCTTTAATTATGTTCATTAATAATTTAAAATGACTCATTTAATTTATTTTACACATTCTTTCTATATGGCTGAATGTGTATTATTATTAACCACGGATGTATTAATATAATTATTAACTACCATTTATTTTTACATTTTTTAGCAAGTAAGAAAAAGATTAAACTGGTTGATTGATCATTTAATGTCGCATCCCGAAGAAATAAGTTTTAATTCAAATTCAGGCAGTGGAAAAGCGCTCAAGTAAGTATTAGAATATTTAATAAATTATATACCAATAGTGAAATACTCAATGAAACAATTTTATTGCCATATTTGAATTATTAATGAACTATTTTTCGGTATAATATAACATTTCTGACAAAAAAGTTAAATAAAATAAATTTTGACTAATTCATTATTTAGTTATATACATTTAAATTTAAAACATAAATCCATGTATAATGTAAACATTTTAATAAAGAATTTATTATATATATATTATGATTTATTGATAATATATTATTGTTAAACTTTAAAAATAGTTCATTAAATTAATTTTTTTTAATATAAATTTAAGTGAATAATTTTTAAATTATTCATAAATATTTTTGGTGTATTAATAATATTTATAAATTAATCATTAATCATTATAATTTATTTTTTAGACTTGTTGTTGAACTCGTTTCCGCAGAAGAACATCCTGGTATATTAGAATTTCCTTTTATGTTTTAAATTTAACTCATCAACATTTTTATTTATTAACATTGTAAAATTTATTAAAAATAACTTCTGATATATTATAATTTTATTTTAGTACATATGAATGTTTTTTAATTAATTACTTAATAAGAGACCTTGTGCCAATGTTATTATTGTCCAAAAACATATTTTATTAAAGTAATGATTCTGTTTTATCGAATTAATAGCTTTTTTTTAAAGGTGTTAAGTATTTTGTATTTCAATATGGATTATGGAATTTCATCTATTGTAATTAAAATGCAAGTGGTAAATACATTTTAAGCTGACATTTTAATCTGCAAGTATGAAATGCTCCTCTTGTACCATCTATACTTGGTTTTACGGTGTTTAATCTATGAGGAAACTTGTTGATTAGGTTAGTGGTAAATTATTCAAATTAATGATCATCATTACAATTAAGCCAACATAAAAATACCAATAGATACGTTTATAGTGGAATATTATTGATATTACTTTCATTATACAACAAATTTAAATAAAGTGGTAAACTTGCATGGCTCCTTATGTGATTATAATAAACAAATTTACATACATTTTAATTATTAGAATTAGATATGAGTGTTTGGATACTTATTATGTTGTTTTAAATATCTTAAAGTTTCAATATTTTTATTTAAATAATAATAAATACTTTTTTTAATATTTAAACTTTTAAATACAATTTTTTTTTCAGTTCAAGTTAAGTCTTGTATCTTGTTCTCATTACTATTTAATACCTTATAAGGTTATTACAAATGCATTATTAATTGCTTTAATTAAAAAGTAATCATGCATTTTTTTTTTGCCAACTAAATATTTTGTATAAATATTATTTAGAAACATGAATTTACTACAACATGGTATTATATTTAGTTTAAGGTTGATAAATATTTGGTGTTAATATAGTATTGCCAATTAGTTAAGTAATTAGTAATTACCATAGTACTATAGTAAATAATATTTACTATATTTTATATTAAAATAAAATTTGACCTCATAAATATATAGGTAATTATAATATACATGTTGTATTTTATAATATGTAGGTATGTATAATTATTTAAATCACTATAGAGGCAATCGAATGATATGTATGCAGTGTTGTAAGTGATTACAGTTTACTGATGTACAATAGGCGCGAACACAGGAAGGGGTTTGGGCGTTGAAACACCCCTCAAAATATCACGAACAAAAATAGATTACCTGACCTACATACATGCAATATGAATAGTATGATCTTTATAAACATTTTTCAACCCCCCCCCCCCCAATACTTAAATTTTTTCCTGCATTCACGCCTAATGTATAGGTATTTTATTTTGCTATCAATATGTCATATCATTATTTGTGTAAATACAATTTTAAATGTATAATGTATACATTCTTAAAATAAGGTTAGCATGTAAACATTTTCTTCGGATATAATATAACATATATTTGAATATGTGCCTATTTAATAAATAATATTATATTATATGTAATAAATTGAATACTTGAATAAATTTGAACATTAACATAGCATACGTTAGTAGTATGTTTTTGATATAATATTCCGTATAAGTCCTATTAATCTATATAAGTACAATTATTAAGCTATTAAAATAAACGATAATAATTGGTTTTTGGCATGGTCAACATCATTTTGTTGGACAACTGGACAATTATTAATAATAAACTAATAATATTGGTAGGTCTTTTATTATCTAGTGATAATAATAGTGTAGGTACTGTGTCCAAAAAAAGAAAGGTATATTTTGGCCTATAAATTCAGTCACAGAGCACAAAATTATCTAACGATTTGTTAATTTTTTTAACATTTGTATTGCCAAATTAAACAACCTCTAAGTAGATGATACAAATAGACAATAGTAATACTGTAGGTGTGGTAGAAATGTACCTACTTTGATTATTTATCTTATTTAATGGTTTTATAATTAAATTTTTACTATCTGCAGCTGGTCGATACGGATTCAATCATACAGATGTTATTAATTGATTCATTATTACTAAACTATTAGATAGGTAGGTACCCAAGTTGTTTTCCTACTCATGTGTTGTATGAATTTATATTGTAAAACTTAATAAATGGCATGGTATAAATGGATTTATGGTTGATGGTTAAGATTTTTAAACTTAAATCGAAAACTACTTTACCGATTTTGACGAAAATTCTAGAGTTTATTCTTAAAGAATAGAGATATTAGGGAAGGTTAGAGATTATTGAAGAGGTAGTTTGAACTCCGACTAATAAGTGGTGCTGAAAATGTTTTTCTATATTTTTGTTGATTACTTTCATGCCGTATAATTGTTAGTTGTTACCTAATTAATAAACTATCATCTATTTAACTGCTATCATCCAGGGAGGATCTATGATGTCCAGGCTCACAAGCTTATCATTTCGTAGTGTGAGTGAAAATAATACAACTGCAATTACAATTTTTACTGAACATTATTAAATTAAGCTTATGTATTATATATTTTTTAGGCGTATTACAAATGTCCTTAGGCTCCAGTCTATGCGTGATTTCTGCTCGACTAGTTACTACCATTACTATACATCGTATTATATTTATACTTTGCACCATAATATGCACTGTTTTGTGTCTTGTACCAGTTGTACTTAACCACACACTGGTAAAGCAAAACCAACTGAATGAATTCAGTCGTTTAATTAAGTATTATGATTCTACTTTAATTGTACAACGGGAAAGCAAAACTGTTTGGAGCAATAATTTGTGCGTCATGAAGTTCTTAGTTGACTTAGTTATAGTATAAGCACAAGTAGTTATCAGTGTTACCAGTGTTCATTCGAAAACTTCAAATTCAAATTCGCATTTTAAATTTCCAACCGTTGTATCATCTACTCGACTATCGAGTGGGGTAAATGTTCCAGAGTATTATTTTTTTTGAGTGAGTGTCCCGTAAAGGTAAGACACCGAGACTTTAAGTTTGGGCATTTTTGTTTTTATCACATAGCTAAATTTCAAACTCAATGTGTGTACCTATACATTTTCATGATATGAATGCCAACATATTTTTGGGAAGTTAGGTGCTTATAGAAATTCCATTACTACGGCGATTTAAAAATACATTAGTGTCATTGTTGAAATATAAGAAACAAAAGTCGTGTACCAAATGATTTGTAAATGCACCAAACGTAATCACCAAAAACTGTTCACAGGTGATGCTAGGTAATTCATCCTGCAGTAAGTAAAGTTGATAAAATTATATAGATATGTATCTAGATACTTATTAAATATTAAATCTATAGGTTGAGTTGTTATTTGAAACATTTAAGTCAACTCATTTGTATAGTAATAGGTATAGGCAAGGTAAATGGCAGGTAAGTATATATAAATATAATTTAAAGAGTAGGTAATGAAGTTTATATTAAAGTACTAAAAAAATGCACATCATAAAATATATACATGCTAACATATGAAAAATAATAACAATATGATTATGTACAAAAAAAAAAAAAATATGGTATAAAAGTTGGATATTATACAAATAAGTAAATAGTAATACATAATATTATCTATAACGTAAAGGTGTTGTGATTATTTTTACGTATAACATTATAAAAGTGTTAATTTTTTATTTGGTATCGTAGATCCGTGATTTCGTTCGGTCTGCTATATAGCAGTCCGATGTGTCCTCATTATAATTACCCGAGTAAACTACGCGTGTTTAAGACGAAAAATAAAATGTTTGATACTTGGTTATCCATCAACGTCGCCGCAGTAGTTAGCAGAGCGCATCATACGTTATACAATTATATCATGTGAATGCTATTGTATCATAATATTTGTATGGTATAGGTATTCAATAGTGCGTTGTGCGTAAACTATAACGTTATAGGTACATTAGGTACATCCATATACCCACGTATCACGGAATCCGTCAAAGTGAAGAAAAAATCCAGTTGCATAATAATTTGACGAGAATTTAGAATTCTGAATAGGTAGGTACGCTCAGAGCGAGAGAAAGTGAAAACGTCGTGATGGTCACGCACTCGCGCGTACACACTCACACGTGATGATATGAAAGGTATGAAACTATGATGATAATACATCTTTTTTATTTTTTTATTTTTTTTTATAATGGAATAATTATTATCCGGACAAAGTAAACAAAAACGATTACGTATAGGGCACTTACGTCTACGTTAATACATTAAATATTTATGTGTGAATTGTATGTGTGTGCGTGTACAAAGACGTGTCTTGGTCAGTTGAGGGTATGGAGCCGCAGGCATGAGACGCAAAGACGTATAATAATTATAAAAAGTCGTCCTTTTAAACGTGGCGGACATGGCAAGTGCGTTTTTACGTGCGAACGTATGACGGTGCGATGGATGGGCTAACGATAATATTATTAATAATAAGTCGTACCTATGTTTTTTTAAATTTTTTTTTGTTTAGGCCGTTGTATTGGTTGCGATATACCTATTATTATGTAAATTTCGAGACGACATTTCCTGTAGATCATCTGCTTTTCTTTTCAACGACAATAATAGGTCGTTAAATATATATTACCTATTATTGAAACTGACGTTTCTCGTCTTTTAAGATTTTTTTTCTTATGGCAACACTAAATTTAATATTATATATCTATATATATCTATATGTATAAGTATATATATACGCGTTATCGTTGTTCTACGTTCGGATATATAATTAATAAAATAATAACAATAATAATAATAATAATAATAATAATAATAACAATATAATGTACATCTGCGCAGTGTGCCAATGTGTCGGCGTGCATAACCTATAGATAAACTCTTATTTTATTTGATATTGCTTGTTTTATTATAATCTAATCGTTTTCATTTTTAGACCATGTAGTAGCTATGTATATAACATACGACTTAGGGTATCATATCATAGTGTCGTGTCTGGGTCTTGGATTCGGTGGCAGTTTATTTTTCCATCAGTACATTGATCCTGGACCGCTGGGCGCGCCGTATCCTGTGGATGGTGATGGGGAGCCGTATGTGTCCGATGGGATCGATGGAGACGGACTCGCAGGGGCTCCGTACTCGGATGCCACCGAGTTGGGGTAGCCTTCTTGTTTCTGAAAATTGAAGAAGGAAAAGAAAACGTAAATATCGTTGTCACTAAGTTTTTGAGTGTTTGATGAATTTTTAAAACAATTTTTTTATTAACATTTATTAAAATTAATTTCATAGTATACCTATATGGTCTGGTTGAATTTGTTTTTATTTTAAATTTGTGCCAGTGATATAATTACTTAATATCAACCATGGTATTTTAAACTAACCACAAAATTTCCATTACACTCTGATAGAGAGGGTATGTGTTGTATTAAGAATTTGTGTAATCTAAACGTACGGTTCTTTAAATAATTTTTCAATTTGTAATAATTTAAGGATTTTATGACCAGATTAAGCCTATTTATTCAATAACGCCGTAATCACTTCTAACCAGTGCCTAGGGTTCTCATTTAAATCACAATATCAATTATCAATAACATAACATATGAAGAGGACCACCTTCTTATTTCTAGTTGTTAAATATTTAATATTGTTCACAAAAAAAAAAAAAAAAATAGTATTTTAAATAATTTTTTTAAGCAGCACCTCCCGGATAATTTTTTTTTTTAGGGGGAAAACCTTATTTCAATTGGTATAATAGCTGTTGTAATAGCAATAACAACAACAACAATAGAAATCGATAATCACCTGGGTCTTGTATCTGATGAAATAGACTTCCGGTTTGGATGGCTGCGTGGGCGCGGGCGTCGGGATGTGGATCTCGGGCGCTTCATCGGGTTTCTTAACCAGCACGTAGATGAGCGTTTTCTGCTCGGCTGGTGGCGCGATTGCTGGTATATCTGGAACGGTGGGTGGTGGTGGCGTGGGTGCCTTAATGAACACGATCTTGTAGTGTTTTTGTGGTGGTGGCGGCGGTTGCACAGGCTTCTTCGGGGCATAGTACGTGGGCTCTGGGGGTGGAACGTGTACGTAAACGTGCTTATGTATGACAGGCGCCTGTTGAGGTGGTCCGTATTGTGGTGGTGGGCCGCCACTCGGGTAAGGTCCACTGCTACTGCCACCACTGATCGGCGCTGCGTAACTGTCCAGCGTCAGCCCGGGGAATCCACCGCCGCCTCCGCCAAAACCGGTGAGCGGCGCTTCGGGTCGGCCCAGACCTCGGCCAACTGCTAGCAACACCTGCGAAAAACACACGAAAAAAGTATTAACCGTTCTAGTTTGCCATAGGTACGTCAAGTAATCGAGTAACGTTATATTTCAATCGAGTTATTAGAATAAATCAGTTTTTTGTATTAATATAATATCATAATGTGTTATAATGGACGGTCAATATATTATTTATTTGACTGTCATCAAACAAATTCACTCACACCATCCCCATTATATACACTATGTACTTAAAGTCTAATTTATCAGTATCAATCGATAAATTAAATGGTTTCTCTTAGCTTTAACTTTTTAACTAGTTATTACACCTATAAATTATAATTATACACGTGAAATAAGGAAAGTCGTAATTATTTAGCGATTCGGATAGGGAGATGGTATCACGGCGAACGTCCCTTTAGTATTACACTACAGCATACAATCCACGATGTAGGTCTATGCTCAGTATTGCTGCATTTGAAAACGACTTTTAGCTTGTTCATATCAATTAAATAATGTTACATGGCGATTCTATAATATATAATATTCTATTAATTAGCAATAACTTGTAAATAATTATTTTTAAAATAGAAAAGTTATCTCTTCAAAATATAATGAAGATTCGAGTTCTTATCTATAGCAAAGGTATTATACGAAACTTTTTATGAGGGATAAAAAAAAAAAATAAAAATAAAATTTAAACCATTTTTTCAAGACCAAAGATCGATCTTTTTACATTATTTATTCAACGCTTAACTCTTCACGTTTAAGTTTACGGCTGTAGTCGATCGACTATGCCAATGTAATATTTTCATCGATCAAAAATAAATTATGTTCTAACCGTTTTTATTCACGATGGTCGTATACTCGTATCATACCATAATATGCTACACGTAAGCGGTTTTCGTCGACCGGAAAATGGAAACGATTATTATTATATCGCTACGATTACATAATCATATTCACATAAATACGACGTGTTTCTGATCCGTTCGGCCGGTGTACGAATAACAATATACCCACTGCGTGGAAAATATAATTGTATGTAATAATTCTCAAGACAAATCGAAAGTGCTCGCCGAAAACATGACATTTAATATAATAGATCATAAATAAATATATTATTATGTGATCGCGCTTTTATGCGTTCAAATCATTCGTCGGCAGCCAATATTGTGAAGAAGCTCGGCGGCAGTCGGCTTGTGTTTAATACAATAAAACATGATAATATATTGTTATTGCGTTCGAAATTCGGGTCCGAGAATACGTCTGAGACGGTACACACAAAGGTCGGAAGTACGACGAATAAAACATGTCGACCGATTTCCCATGAAACGCGCTTGAGTTAGTACTTATATACTATTTCTCCAGGAGTAATACGATTTATTATATTATATACGATTTTATACGAGCGATTCATACGTCGGACAACACTGCGCGATCCGCAACGGATGATAAATTCGATGTCCACCGCGTGTAATATAATAATATTATGACAATAAAATGATCATTTGTACAACCGTAACTATACGGTTTTTACGTCTGAATCGTATTATATCTCGCGCGTGCATTGATGAACGACGATTGTGACTGTAGAATTGTCATCATTACTTTTTTTTTTTTTTTACGAACCCATTCCCGGGATTGCTGGATTAACTTTTGAAGTCGCACGTTTCCGTTAATCTTCGATCGGCAAATTATGGTTTGACTTTTGTGTATTCATTGTAGATCAGGGACTATTTATTTTTTTTTTTGCGATTTTTTGGATCATACATACTATTACTAAACGGTACGACACGCATACATGTTAACGATTCGCTCTTTTTATTTAACTATGCGTAAAACTATCGTAATTCACGTAAATTGTTTAGCAATTATACGTTGCGTACGTAGTTTTGTTTAAATTTATAAAGAAATCTAATTACAATTACATATTGTCTGTATTTCAATTTAAATATTGGTGCAATCAAGAACTACTACGAGGCTGTATCAATGAATTCAAGTTCATCCAAATTTAAAACGCTTTTTATGTTTATAAATACCTCATGGCATTGACCATAACATCACGACTGATAAATAACTGTTACAGTCATCTGTAATCATGTATTTATATATTGATGAAACATCACTCTGTATATACGCCGTATAGTTTAGTCTGATAGGACTATATTTTATGCGCGTGTGTATAGTTTGTTAGTTAATCGGTAGAAATATACGAAAATAATGTGAAAACTATCGATTTGATATCATCCCTCTCACGCTGTTTTGATTCCCTTCCAATTCGTCTCCATAACTCCATTACCCTTACCACATTTAAATCCGTGACGCGATCGCTATATTATTCACCAACGGAGTTCGTTAATTTTGATTTCGTTTTTTTTTAACTATTGAGCGGAACGCGATACATATAACACGACACAGTATTATACGTATACCTCTAATATATATTTATACAGATATACGATTGGACTCCGTTATTTTTTCATCTTAGCTTATTAGGAGAGAAAAAAACGTCAAAAGAAAAGAGTACTGAACTAATCGGACGGAATCATTGGAATTATTTATACTATTAAAAATAATAAGTTTAAATATACGTGAATTCTTTTCTCGTTCCATCTCTTACTCTACCACCGTTCAAATCTGGAAATCAGGTTCACCTATACAGTCCTACGTTTGTTTTATAAAAAATGATCTTTATTACTATATAATGTGTTACGTAGACTACAAGTCGCAAGATGATAGTTTTTCCATTTCAGCAATACAATGTGTATATGTGTATATATGTATGTAAAATATCCTTCGGAAAGTCGCGGTGGACCATCATCTACCTATAGAATATTATACACATTGATAAGTCATCGAGGTGACGGTAACGCCGAATTATCGTTCACTCGGGTTTATCGAATTCATTGTACAGATGTCATGGTGCAGTTATGTACATAATAAATAATAATATATTTCGATATGCCTTCCGGCGTTTTGCGAGGTACCTACTATAATTAATATTATGATAATGTATAAAATATACATTACACCTTGTAATGGTAAATATTCTCAAAGAAAAATCGACAAAATAATATGGAAACGATCATCACAATATGAATAATCACTCAGCATGTCTGTGATACGAGTATCATCGTGACTTTTTATATAATTGTGGAAGCCGATGTATATGGTACAGATATTTTTGACTGGACTACATTATTATGATTGTTTACTGTAATATTAAGGTAATATTATTTCATGACAAACGGAACTACTTATGTAATTATCTGAGGTCAGAATTGACGAACAATTCGAAACTGTAAAAGATTATGGGTTGGTCGTTCACCGTAGGAAATATAAAATTAATAAATATATTTTCAATAAAAATCTTACTTAGGTAATTATTTTAATGTTTTTCCTATAACGATAATTTCTATTTAGCTGATGAAAGTTGAACACTCAAAATGAATCGTAAAAGTTTTATATTTTTTTAATATCCAGCACTAAGCTATATATAGCAAAGGTTTACACCTTTTTTTACTATATAATCCCTTTTTAGCATATTGTTTTAATTTTACTTCCTATTAAAAATTGTTTTGTAACATAAGGACGTAATTGTGTGAAATATTTAAAATTATGCCAGTTATATATTTTTAACTTCCTTAAATTTTTTTCTTAATTAAGTTAAATCTCATAGCTATATCAGTATATCACTTAAAATGTTGAACGCCCTCTAGCTAGGTCGGTAGGAAATATTGATATACATAAATAGCCAAATTTTAACTATGCATAATTAGTAAAAATAAAAGTGATAATAATAATAAATTAGGGTTCTCGACTTATTAAATTTGTATATTTTTTATATGATAGTTGCAGCATATTCCAGGTAAGATATAAATTTGTTTTGTGAAATGTTGCAATTAAATACAATATCTGACTGTGTTTTTTGTGAATTTTTTTATTTCCTTCAAAATAAGCTTATTTGACAAATTTGATCATTTTTTAATAATTATTGATATTGTGTATTAGGTAATATATAATATATTCATAAACAATTTACTCCTCCATATTTTTTGCTTATAATTTTAAAGTAACAACTCTCGTGCATTAAGAATTATTATTAAATACATTTTTAATAATATAATAAATCTTTCAATTGTATTTAATATTAAATTTTTGTTTATAATCATTAAATAAATAATACATTTTTATACTTTAAAAATATGTTACTATATATTTTAGAATTTTTTCTAATAGTTATTTTAATTGTATATTCATATGCATACTTTGAACATTTTTATTTTAATAACTTCTGAGCCCTAACAATAATAGTTGTGTGTAGATGTAGGTAAAACTTAGAATAACGTGACAATCTGTATATGTCATATTGAAATGGCCAATGTAATAGTGTTATATTGATTTAGTAAATTTGCTATGTAATAACACACCCATTAAAAATATTTAATACGTTTAATGGAATATTCTTCAAACATTTTATTTATTATTTTTTCTGAGGATAGTTTTACCTATTTGTTACATGATACATGCATGAACTTATGAGGTACACACAGATATCATTATCCATTAGCCATTAGTCATTATTTATAATTAAAATCTAATGTGATTAAATTTGATATAGATTTTCTGGTCAATATCAAAACAATTTATAAACCGATGTATAAAGTTTTTATTCACGTATATAAAAAGGTGACATTTATATGTGTTGACAGTTTGATGTGAATGAGACGAAACGTCTGAAAGCGGTTGTCGAAGAAGTTTCACGCGTTACCAGCAAAATAAATATAAATCGTTTTCACCGAACGGTATACAGCATATTTCGATTGTAGGCTGCAGCTGCAGAGTTATTTCATGATAACATTGTGACGCGTATTGGACTAGCCGTTTGAATATATAAAAATAATAATATACGGGTCCATCGATGCGTATCTATCCCCAATGTTTGCGTTGATTTCAATCGGAGATATTGAATTGCATACATATTATGATGTGCCCAAGCCGACAGATCGCCCGAGAGTTTAAAACGTATG